AAACGTTAATGGTTTCCGTGGTAGTGTTATGGGTACAACAGTAAGGTAAATACAGTTACTTGTATTATGATATTTGCGTTTGTATTTCTAACCGATTTCAAAAGAAGACTTTCCATTCCACTTTAGTTTATCGTGCTGTAGTATTCCATAGATTTGCTAATTATAAAATGAGCCCTGTTTAATGTATTTTGTCCTTCTTACTCTTACTTATTTACCTATGTATGAAAACAAGACGCAATATATTCTTACTGTATATACACACGCAGTTAGTCACATCTCTCGTTACCACGAGAAATAACCTAATTTTAAACTAAAATTAAAAATAAATATCCACTTATTACGGCTATTACTATGTTTATTATATCTATCTATCCTTATCTATCCCTTTTACTCTTAGTTACTTTCCTATGCACGAAAACAAGACGAACTGTATTCTTTACTCTATACACACACGAAGTACCTATATCTCTTGTAAACCCAAACAATAACCTAATGTTAGACTACAAATGGAACTAATTTTATAAATACCGAATTATTACCGTGACTATGCTTGTAATTTTTCATGTAAAAGTCTATCTATCTTCATTATACAATCTTTTATTATACATTAATAATATAGTATCATTTTATGTTAAATTTCTTTAAAATTCATTCAGCTATTAGCCGTGATAAGGTAGCAATAAGACAGACAGACATAATAAAAATAATCTATATAACTCATGCTACTCTGTCTCAAACAAAGTAGAACTTATATCATAACAACGGATATAATAATATAGGAACATACAAAAATACCCGACCAATACAAAAATATGCCTCCGCAATATAAACATTTATATTTTGCTGGAATCGAACCTATGATCGTTAGAAAATAAAGCAGCGTATTCAAAATATAGAACCATGATCACCGCATTGCAGTGGTTGGCAACATACATCCTGAGTTAGAATTGTTTAATACGCTCCAACCCCCAAAGGGATCTTTGTTATAAATAGATAATACTGTGCAGACACTCATATAATACGTTTAATTTCCAACCGACTTTTATAAAGGAGGACTTTTCAATTCCTTTATATTAATATATTTAAAAATCCATAGATATTTTTTTCAATATTACGGTTGTTTTTTCTTTAATATGCGTGTATTATACATATAAACCTTCGCCTTGAATCACTCTATCTATTGTTGAAAACTACATTAAAATCTGTTGCGTAATTTAAAAGAGTCTTGACTTCAAACATACAACAAGCTCGTCTTGTTCAATTCAAAGATTTGTAATGCTTTCGTGCGAAGCCGGAAGGGGCGGTAGTATTTTATAAATCGACAAATCGCCTATGCCCGTCCTTGAGATATGTATCTTTATGTGAAATTTCACGAAAATCCATTTAGCTGCATAGTCATATACAGATATTACATCAGGAAAACAAATTGAAAATCTGAAAAATAATTTTATATCTTCCATTCCATAATTCATCATTTGATGTACATTTAAATTATGTTATTATACTGGTTGATTAAAAAAAATAAAAAAATAGTTATGCAATCTTTTGGTGCCCCCAAAGTGTATGCCCAAGAGAATGATAAGTCTGCATACTGTATACTAATAATATACATTTATTTACTAAAAAAAGTCAACATTAGCATACCTACATGAAATTAATTTTGCAGTATGTATACATGAATGAACACATATATATATATATATATATATACACCGCCACTCCAATATAGTAAAACAATAATTAAAACCTATACACTACTAACAATTATTTGCTAAACAGGACTCCGGTCAGCATATTGCTGCAGCCGAAGCTACAGCGCTGATTTTCAGCGGAGCCCTTAGGGTAAATAAAATATAGAATACATTAAATATATCATTAAATAGAATAAACAAAATTATAGAAAATAATACTAGTTATGGATCGACTTATAAGCGACAATCGGAACAAAATGCATATAAAATCAATTTAGGTTTGACAATTTATAATAAATATGATCCATACTACTTTCATTCATGTATATGATTATTCTATTTCACAAATTCACAATTATGAACAACAAAAACACAAAGCCTACAGTTACACACTTTATTACATTTAACCCGCATATCTAAATATATATAACTCAAAGGTGACTGACGTAGTGATCTATCAACCACTGGACGGATCGGGCTGAAATTTGGCATGCAGGTAAATGTTATGACGTAGGTATCCGCTAAGAAAGGATTTTGATTAATTCTACCCCCAAAGGGATAAAATAGGGGATGAAAGTTTGTATGAAACTTTGTCAATTTTAAACCGATCGGGCTGAGACTTTGCATGCATAAAGTTACTATGACGTAGGCATCCCCTAAGAAAGAATTTTGACAAATTCCACCTCTAAGGGGATAAATTAACGCGAAAGAAGCCGCGGGCAAAAGTTAGTTTGCATATACACCTTAGTAGATAATATTCTGTAAATTTATAAAAAGGTGTTTTAGTTTCCTTTTTTTTTAACTTCCAGTACAATGAACTGCACGACAGTCTCTCTGGACCCTGTATGATTGGGAACCATAACAAAAAGGTTTGTCAGTAATGGGAACATAAAACGCGGGCGTTCCAAACTTAAACGAAAAACTTTTCATATTTTTCAAATTTGGATTTACCGTTACGTTATTACCGCCGGCCTGTTATTGACTTACGTTGATAGACTTTTAGGATATAATTTTAATATTGGAATACGTTTTAAAGACATTATACCTATAATCATATTATTTATTATTAAGTTGGCATAAAACTTTTTTTATTTTTAAACCTAACTGCAATGATATAATATATTTTTAATTCCATATTAATATTATATACATAAAAGTGTGTCTGTTTATCTATTTATCTTTACACGTTTAGCTACGTTTTCTATGAAATTACATTACGAAGACGGAAATAGACAAGAAGACACCTTTATCTTTAAAAAAGCAGAGAAAACGCCCAATAATCATAAGTTTAATAAACTATAAAGACCCCTTTACACTTTAAAAGTCCAGGAAACGAAAATAAATTTAATAGTGTGAAAGACCTTGCTAACAGGCGGCTTCACATTATCATAAACTAGCGAACCGTTCCGACTTCGCACGTTAATGTATATTAACAACTTTTAGGAACAACTTTTCTCTATGTACGAGTATAACAAAATGTAGTTTAAAGCAAAAATACAGACAATTTTATTACTATTTCATGTATTCGTACAGTTAAAAGTCGTAAGTTCAGTTTAAATTAATATTTGTATATAGACCAGACGTTTTTACTTTCAGAATCAAAATTAGAAATAGAAAAATTCTTTATTCAAATAAACCCAAATTTAAGCACTTTTAAATAGTCATAATTTTTAATCTACCGCTTATTCAGAAAGCTGTCTCAGCACATGAAGAATAAACGAGAAATTTGGCTATTGCTCTTTTATACTGATGTTGTAACTTTAAATCAAAATATGTGTGAATACAAACTAACAAATTTCGATTCAAATGTATCATTACATTTGTACCTTTTTAAGAGTAAACAGTTAAGTCTAGCGTTAATTTGATTGTTGCACGAGGAAGGCTTTGGGTTATTTTTTATGTTAAAAAACCATACGAAGTCGACGGTAACACCTAGTAATAAATGAAAGTATTTCGTACGGACAAATATTTGACTTGAGAATTGGGTACAAAACTGTCTGAAACCGATCTCCTTAATACAAATAAAAAAAAATGTATATTCGGAAAATTTGCTTTATCTTTTATTAGCTGTGTCCGCGACTTCGTCCGCGTAGAACATGACCTTTTATCCCTTATTTTATTTTACCCCCTTAAGGGTAAATTTTTTTACAAACTTTGAATATATATTAAATCAATAGCCTAAAAAATTAGTTTGAAGCTTCTAGTTTTAAAAATGACAATACCTCCATACAAATTTCACTTTCTCTTTCAACTCCATACAACCCTTTTTCGCATTAAAAAGCCTATGTCCTTACTCAAAGTCTATTTCATTTAAATCGGTTTAGTAATTTTGTCGTTAAAGCGCAAACAGACAGACAGACAGAGTTACTTTCGCCTTTATAATATTAGTAAGGATTGCATAGATCGTATTTATGTCCTAGTATTACCATAATACATGTTTGTCAAAATATCATCACGAAGACGGCCAGTAATATATCCAACTTTACGAAGTTGCACTACATAATTTATGATTTTCCGCGGCGTCTTTCCTCTTTTTCCCTACATCTTGTTATTTACGAAATCTCAACCACCCTATTAGATAATCCTCTATGAATAAAAATATAAATCTCTGCGTCACAAAACAAACCCACATTTTTACGCCAACAATCGCTAAAGTTACATACAAGTAACGCCATCTCTTATTTATTAAAGCAAACCAATCACGCATCAGAGGTCCATGAATGGAGCACCACGCATGCGTACTACGCATCGATCCAGAATACAGGCATGTAAATAATGTATTCAACGACGAAAAGTCGCCCTGTAATATTTTGGATGAACCCATAGACGTCAGCAGCTATAAATAAAACACACATGAATACATAAAACCACATTATTACAACATTCGAAATTCAAATTTTTGAATTGGTATTTTCTAATTTAGGAACATTTTCCTCTTGTGTTAGTCAAAAGAAATACATATTTACAAAAGGTATTGTATATACCAGATCAATATTTTATAAAATATAATAAATAATATAAATAATTTATATGTAAATCACCTTCATACAACTACTTGAAGAATACTGGCACCATCAAATTATTTCGTTCGAGTCGGCGCAGTAACTGTATGTTTCCGTTGTTTTCCCGCTAGTATCGACAGGGGCGCCACAGTCGCCATCGCTGCAGTCTCACGGGCGTAGCTGTCAAAATTATTACATTTAAAAAAGAAGAAACAATCATAATCACGTTCCAAATTCAAATACAATTCGAAAATTTAAATTCAGAATTCCATTCGTTTATTTTTAATGAATTTATAATATTGTAGTTATGAGATAATTTAGCTGCTTTATTCCTAACCTCTTTGTTTGTTGAAAATTGTGATATTTATCTGCCAAAATGCATGGGACAATTTTATTGGTGTGTTTATTTATTAGTGGTTGTCTAGCGAACCCTGATGCGAAGAGACTTTATGATGATTTGCTGAGTAATTACAATAGACTGATTCGTCCCGTCGATAAAAATAACAACACCGTATTAGTCAAGTTGGGTCTACGATTGTCTCAACTCATTGACTTGGTAAGTGTTTTTGTTTTTACTTATTTACTTGACAGAAACAAATTAAATTATTAGTAATATTATGCCTAATCCTTGTTAATTTGTAATAACATTTATTTAAAAGAGCAACACGCAAGTTTCTTACTCATTCTTCTTGTGATGACTCTGCTTTCCGAATATGTGGTAGAATAAAAGTGAGTAAACTATTCAAAAGTGCTTATATTAAGTTTATTTCAATAAAGATTATTTCTATTATATACTTTATGAATATATATTTTAAAACTTGAATGAATTATTTAAGTAAGATATATTTGAACAGTAAAATGTCAGTAATAAGCTATTATATAAACGATTGCATGCTATAATATAATAATAAAAAAAATATACTGTCTAATTAACATATATACCTACTTAGTAAAGTAAGTAAGAGAGAACTGATTGCAAACAAACACCGACAAGAGTTTTGCAAGACAGAGATTGTAAATTTGGTAAAAATAAGCTTTTTATCTATCTATATAGTATAGTAACTAGGCGGCTGAGTTATGGTCAGCGTATCAGGATTCTTTTTTTTTTGTTTTTTTTTCTGACGTGAATAGGTACAGGTGATACGTCTTCGTGGGTACCTCTATCTCAACTACTCAAGTAATCAAGCAGCTTGCTGTGTACGCTATGTTCTCTGTTGTAAAGAATACAATTCTGTGGTACAAAAACCTTCATCCTCTGAATGTCAAACCAACATTGGTACGAGCATCAGATATTTACGCGATGTTATGTATTTAGGCGATATATGTCTAATATAAAAAGTTCTGTCATGGTGTTTGTAACATAACTCCTCCGAAACGGTATGACCGATTTTTATAAAGTTTTGTATGTATATTCAATAGGTCTGAGAATAGAACTTCAATTATTTTTCTTTCTCCTACTTGGTTCATAGATATATTTTTATTTTTTATTTTTTTTATATATAATTCGGCCATAAAAAATACATACAACTCTTACTTTCGCCCTTCTACCATCAACCCCTATTCTAGCAATAGTGATATTAGTACAATTCATATGGCAAAATAATATTTGCTGTGTCAGCTAGTATACAGTAAATATACGGTTGTCACTTCCATCAGGTGGGCCGGCAGCTAAAAAAATATTTCCCTCATAATAACCTTTATATGTAGTGTTAAATGGCGAATTATTATTAATAAAGTACAATTATTCAAACCATTAAAATTAATACGGGAATAAAAATATAAATTAATATTTACCTATACCTTAGTCTTATACATAATGATATATACATAGATAGTATAATATAAATAAATAAGAAGAGTAAATAAACGAAGAAGCAATATAATTTCAAAACTAATTCATGTGTCCAATACAGAATCTTCAAAATTATCATCCATTCACATATATGATTTTATTAGATGATAATGTAACGATGCACCTGCCTGCGATAATGGTTTACGCTGGTGGGGCACCAGTGGAGGATAATAGGATGAGCATGAGGTCAGGTCAGTTAACCCATTGTGACAAATCACCAGAACCGATCAGAACAGATATATATATATATAAAATTCTCGTGTCACAGGTTTCGTGTTTATACTCCTGCTAATTGGCTCGGCCGATTTTGATGAAATTTTATAAGTATATTCAATTGGTCTGAGAATAAGTTTATAACAAAATTTTATACCCCTAAATGTTATGGGTGACTCGCCCCAATTTTTTTTCATTTTACCGAGGTTTTTTATTTATTTATTATGTGACATTAAAAATACATACAACCCCAAAATTTTCACCCTTCTATCATCAACCACTACTATTTTTTATAGCTTTATTAATTTATATTATAAAACAATATTTGTCGGGACAGCTAGTATATGTATATACACACATCCCAATAGTAATAACTCATATCAGTGATCACTTCGTATATACCTACAGTGGATTTAATATCGATATAGTAAATTGTTGAAATTACACCCATATAATCCTACTTACACACCCTGTATCCAAAGTAATCTTAACTTAATCCACATCCAAGTTTAAGGCTCTGCGGGTCTGCCTTTTGATTAGTTCTAAATAATTGCCAATTTACTTTAATATAGTTAATCAGAAATTCTAATAAGTATACGGTTCATCTTCGAAGTTCAAGTTACGCGTAAAGTTTCCATCGACAGTAGATTGAAAAACAATACTTGGATATGGCAAAGACAAATTAATATTATCAATAATGATAAAATTCTTGTGTAACAAAATTTTTGTTACATATAAAAATATGGGTAACTAGCTACTCGCCCTAGCTTCGCCTGGGTGTACATGTATTACACATATAAACCTTGCTCTGGAATCACTCTATATAATAAAAAAAAAATCGCTTCAAAATCCGTTGAGTGGTTTTAAAGATTTAAGCATACATAGGGACGGACAGACAGCGACTGCGATTTTGTTTTATACTATACTAACTACCCACGCCGGCTTCGCACGGATGTACATGTATAATATATATAAATCTTCTTCTTGAATCGCTCTATCTATTAAATAAAAACGCTTCAAAATCCGTTGCGTAGTTTTAAAGATTTAAGTATACCTACATGGGGACGGACAGATAGCGACAGCGACTTTGTTTTATACTGTATAATGAAGTCAGTATTCAAATCATTACAACAAGCAAAATAATATTATAAAAAAAGCAGTAAAAGAACCAAACATAGTCACCTTTCGCATATCAACAGCTTCTCTAATGAACTGTGTTCTGGATATTTCTTAAACATGATATCCAAGGTTACCATCGGACTACTCGTCATCCCCAGAGATTCACCCTTACACGTTTATTATCCTTATTAAGATTGTAAATATGAAACTGATATATCGTCACGGACGTTCTAACAAAGCTTTATTGGCTATTTTACAAAATTATCTATATTACAAATAGGAGAGCCAAAAAATTGTGTAAGATTAAAATTATTGAATTAAACTATAATTCTTTTTTAAGACGTTATATTCTATAGATATTTTATTATATAACATATATATGCTTATATATACACACATATAATCTTACTAATATTATAAACGCAAAAGTTTGTGAGTAGTGGATGGATCAGTGTTTGTTACTCTTTCGTTGAGTTTGTACAGTTGTTGTTATCTTTGGATCTACTGAACCGATTTTGATTATTTATTTAGTGTTGAATACCCCAATTATTGAAGAAGGCTATAGACTATATAACATCACCCTACGAGCAATAGCAGCGGAGCTGCAATATTGTTTCAAAAACGGGGGAATCGCGACACAAACGAGTTGGGCGGGTCAGCTATATGTAATAACGGGAAAATTTAATTAATATTTTAAGTATGTATATTTAAAATAGTATTACTTACACATCAGCTCAATCAGTCTAGTTTCCACACAAATCAAATCTAACTATCTCTATACCATCCAGTGTAGTAGGTACAGTTGGCCTCATTAAACTAATGCGTGTAGTAGTCTATAATGTTTAATGACGAGTAACATATATATATGTTATATATAAAATTCTCGTGTCACAGTTTTCGTTCCCATACTCCTCCGAAACGGCTTGACCGATTCTCATGAAATTTTGTGAGCGTATTGAGTAGGTCTGAGAATCGGCCAACATCTATTTTTCATCCCCCTAAATGTTAGGGGTAGTCCACCCCTAATTTTTTTATTTTATTTTAAGGTAAAAGAACATTTGCCGGGACAGCTAGTTATCCTATATTTTAAATATCGAACGAAATATATACTCACTAAGGTGAATTTAAAAGTATCATATTTTACCTCAAAAGTCACCGGCCATTCAAATGCCAAAGTCCTATTTAAATTTAGAATGTGAATTACTAAAGACCTCTTTGATGTTTAGAATAATTTGATATTCGAGTGATTGAACAAAATATTTAACATAAATATTCTGATACATTTCAGAATGTCCAAACTTTTATAATTTAATTTATAATTGTAATAATGTCTCAGGACAATTCACACAACGCCATCTAGTTCGAAGAATTTTAAACAGAATTTGTATTATGAGTATTGGACATCTAAATACATGTAAATAGATAGATTTTTTTGTAAATAAAGTAATATATAAATTATACATAGAGAACACCCTAATCGATATAATCATACTCATGAATACAAATGTTTGTACCATGCGAGAAATCGAACCCAAGACCATCGGAAGTAAAACAATATTTATAAACACAGTTAGTGTGTGCTAAACCTCAAGACCACCGTGCCGTAAAATTTTGATATAAGGTCTTTTAGATCTCTTAGGTCTTTTAGGTCTTTTTTCTGATTTGTCAGAATAACACACAAATTAAAGCAAAATTTTTAATTGGCACAATTTACGTATCTTATTTCGTGGCAAAAATTAATTAAAGAATCTAAAATAATCTTTAATATTATGCCTATTGATTTATAAATTAATGAAACTGACTGTACATAGCGTTGACGTCACTTCGTTAGCAGGTCAAATACAAATAAACCAAGTTTAATTAGCTTACGAGGTGCCTAGCTGTGAATAGAAACGAGAAACAGCCTCCGGGTACCTTATTATATTCATAGACTACATTTTTACATGTAACCCAATTAGTGGATTTGAGAAAACGCTGTATATATATTTATTATTAACTAATTTTTCTCACAACTTAATAAAACATCCATTTAATGTAGACCTGTATGTTATATGAAATATTGTACAAGGGAGAGGTCAAGTTGTATCTCGTGGTTAGCTTGACCGATTTAAAATAATACATACGCGACTTGACTCGAAAATGTATAAAAAGTAACTTGGGTTAGTTTCATTTTAGAATTTTTGTTTAGTGTTTGCAAAGAAGTTATATTCCACGCGAACGAAGTCGGGGGTAACGACTAGGTAGTAATATAAATATTAAGAAAAGTAAATAAACGAAGAAGCCTATTATTACCCAAGCTTTAAACAGAAAATTGGAAAAATTGAGAAAAAAAAGTTTATTATGTTTCTAGTAAGGAAAATACAAAATACTAT